TTCTTGTTGTGTTGAAAATAGATATTGATTTTTAGTAACCAGTTTTAGTGTCCTGTTACTGTAATACTGTATACTCGCAAAGATTTGCAGTTGATTATAGTCATTATACCATATGATCAAAGAAGGGTTTGTGGTCTAGCCTACTTTTTGATTCATTATTTGTTTTTGCTGATCGATCATCTGTGCCAAACCGCCAATGCTTGCAACATAGGCATATAGGAGATAGAAACCCCTTATTTCTTCCTTTTTATCTGATACTTTGCTGCTTTGGCATTTCACCAATTCCATTTGAAAAGCTTGACTAGAAATCTTGAGCTAAATGTTGAGATTGGAATTTATTAACTCTTTTTTTAACTAGTAATTTTCATCAGTGAACGTTTCCTTTGTGATATATCACTTCATTAGAGCTCAAGATCAGTGATATTGATAAGTAATAATCAAGGCCCTTCTATGGTGATTTTATTCATGATTTTTAAGAATACACTTTGAGTTTATGTCATCTGTAAAGAGAACATTGTTTGCAAAAGAGTCAAATTTAAGAGTTGTGGATATCATACTGCCAATGTAGTGTGCAGAACTGTCAAATTGATAGAAAAAATGGATGTAACTCCACACCAGGCTATGGCCAAGTGCTGTAGTGGGGATCTGCATTTGAGGGGGAACTATTTATGCTTTAAGCAACAGAGGAGACATCCCATAAAATTGGTGTTTTAGACGAACTTATACTAGTAACCTTTTTTTTCATTTTCAAGAATGCAATATCATGTTAATGCTTGCCTTCTTTTCTTGTTTTTTAAAGCTCACTCTGATGATTTTTCAATATTACCAGGAGATGAGAGAAAAAAGACAGCAGATGCCATACCACATGCACATCAATTTGGAACTCTTGGAGGCAGTTCATTTGACTTGTGCCATGCTATTGGAGGTCCCTTACATGGCTGCCAACACCTTTGAGTCACAGCGCAGGATTATAAGCAAGACTTTCCGGAGATTGCTCGATGCTAGTGAGAGACAAACATTGCGGGGCCCACCTGAAAATGTCCGGGATCATGCTATGGCTGCTACTAGAGGCCTCACTCAAGGAGACTTTCAAAAGGCCTTTGATGTCATCACATCTCTGGATGTGTGGAAGCTCCTGAAAAACAAAGAGAGTGTCTTTGAGATGCTGAAATCCAAGATCAAAGAAGCAGCCCTAAAGACTTACCTATTTACTTATGCTGTTTCTTACAGTTCTCTGAGCCTTGACCAGCTGTCTAAGATGTTTGAGCTGTCAGAGCATCAGATACACAGCGTTGTGAGCAAGATGACGGTTAATGAGGAGCTGCGTGCTTCATGGGACCAGCCTACGCGGTGCATCATCTTCCACGAGGTTGAGCACACTAGATCGCAGGCTCTTGCTTTCCAATTAACCGAGAAGCTAAATTTCTTTGCCGAAAATAATGAGCGAGCTATGGAGGCCAAGTTGGGTGGTGGTACTTTGGATGGTTTGCCTCCCAGGAGGAGAGATGGACCAGATTATTCTGCAGCTGCCTCTACTGGTGGTGGTAGGTGGCATGACAACTCTTACCAAGGAAGACCTGGTGGGCGTTCAGGATATGGAGGAAAGACGATGAATCCAGGACAGTTTTCTGCAGGTGGATATTCAAGAGATCATGGTGGTCATGCAAGAGGGGCAGGCTCTTATGGGCGTGCATCCATGCGAGGACAGCACACTGATTCTTCAGCCCGTATGGTCAGCCTTAATCGTGGAGTTCGTTAATTTATTTTGATCATCTGAAAATTTTTGCCCCAAGGTTCTAAAACTAAGAGGCTGTTTAGTTCACCTGATTTTAGCTGATCTGATCTGATCTAAACTTATTTTTTCTGATCTGATCAGATCTGAACTTATTTTTTCTGATCTGATCTGAACTTATTTTTTCTGATCTGATCTGATCTGAACTTATTTTTTCTGATTTGACCTTATTTTAATTATTTCAATATTCTACTTTTAATGTTAATCAATATTAATGTTTAATTATTATTGTTATTATTATTATTATTATTATCATTATTATTATTATTATTATTATTATTATTATTATATTATATTATTATTATTATATGATATTATAATTTACTATGATATTATATTATTATTAAATTATTATTATTATTATAATATTATATTATATTGTATTATATTATTATTATATTATATTATATAATATTATTATTATTACTATTATTATTACTATTATATTATATTATATTATATTATTATTATTAAATAATAACAATTATCGCATTGGAAGAACTAAAGAGACTTCTTACACCAATTGAGAGATTGCCTCTAAGGTTAGGTGGAAAATCTGGTAGCGAATACATAAACAGACTACTACATGCCCATCCTGATTTATGCAAAGAACAATTGAGATTAGATAGAAACATATTTGTGGATCTTGTTACTTGCATGAAAAATAAAAATTTATTATCGGATGGTCGTTACATATCTGTGGCTGAGCAATTAGGAATATTTTTATATATCATGGCTAAATGCAGTTCTTATCGTGATGCTGCTGGTCGATTTCAGCACTCTATTGCAACAATTGGGTTGTACTTTAAACAAGTACTGGAAGCAATGGTTCATTTGTCTACCGAGATCATAAGACCATACCAAAGTTTGACCGTGGTGCCATAAAAAATAGGTGACAGTACAAAATATTGGCCATATTTCAAGGTATTAAGAAACATTATTATTATCTTGCATTGTCATTATATTATTTTATGCACATGCAATATATAATCACTTATAAAATGTATCCTAAATGTTAATGAACTATTAGGATTGTGTTGGAGCATTGGATGGGACTCATATAAATGCAGTTGTAAGCGATGATGATGGTGTGGCACATCGAGGGCGTAAAGGAAAAAAAACATGGAATGTTTTGGCTGCCTGTTCCTTTGATAGGCTTTTCACGTTTATCAACGTTGGATTTGAAGGTAGTGCTCATGATATTACTGTATGGAACTATTGCTTAACTGTACCAGAATTTCGATTTCCCCATCCACCTCCAGGTATAATTTAAAATAGTGTATGTTTTTACTCCATACATGACACCATACTAATATGCTGTATAACTTTATTTTGTAACAGGAAAATATTATCTAGTAGATTCTGGATATCCGAATATCGTTGGATATTTGAGTCCAATAAAAGAAAAAGATATTAGAACCCATTTGCCTGAATTTCGAAATGGTCCACCACCACAAGGCACGCTTGAACTTTTTAATTATCTTCACTCTTCACTTCGAACAACGATCGAGAGATGTTTTGGACAATTAAAAGGTCGATGGAAAATATTGACAATGATGCCACAAATGGACACTAAACATCAATTGGCAATTATGGTTGCTACATTCACACTTCACAATTTTATTCGATTACATGAGTTGGATATACCCATTGATAGTGGTATAGAAATCGAACCAAGAGCAGATTATGATTTGTTTAACGAGAATCGTAAAGCTGTAATGAAAGAAGTACAACTTAATATAGCGAAGGAAATTTGGAACGTCTTGTAATGAAAATTATATTTGTAAACGTTTATGATTTGGAGCTTATAATGAAATTTTATTTATTATCGTTTATTGTTTGTGCTATTTAATAACATAGACAACGTTACTAGTTCAAACAAACGATAAAATCAAATCCGATATATCATAAATCAATAATAATAATAATAATAATAATAATAATAATAATAATAATAATTTGATCTGAACTTATTTATTTTGATTTGAACTTATTTTTTCTGATCTGATCTGATCTGAACTTATTTTTCCTGATCTGATCTGATCTGAACTTATTTTTTCTGATCTGATCTGATCTGAACTTATTTTTTCTGATTTGATCTGATCTGAACTTATTTTTTCTGAAATAAGTAAAAATAAGGTGAACTAAATAGTCTAAATTGTTTCCGTCTTATCATTATTCCTTTATTTCTTGGTAGAAGTTCTGGTTTCAATTTAACTAACTGGACTGATTAGTTGTAAGCTTGTAACTTTCGTAAGTTTTTTTTTTTTTTTTTTTTTTTTTTCAGTTATTGTGTTTTAAAGCGCAGGAAACTCCTATTTGTTCTACCTTTTGTTTCTGAAAATTGTCATTACTGTTTTGTTAGATTTTTACTGAAATTGTCAGAGATTGTGGTTTTCTGTTTACGCAATCTGTGTCATTGTGATCAACTGCAAATACTACTTCCGCTTCATATTATTTGCAACGATTAGACATTTTCTACTCACACTTTATGTTAAATCGTTGTAAATAATATGAAACGGAGGTATTCCATCTCGGTTACGGGTTAAACGTGGTATTCCATGTACCTGAGATGTATATGTATATTTTGCCTTGTAGAGTTGTATATGTAGTATGAGTATATCTAAATTTTATCCATGTATATTTGCCTATTTGATTACTTTGTGTGATTCAACCACTATACAGGTCTAATATTACCTATTTTAGCTCTTTAATTTAGGTCAAAAGCGGAATTTTTTTTTAATGTGGGAGCATCATGTTTTATTCTAGTCATCCTTTAAAGTCTCAACTCATATTCTTTATCTACCTTTTAAAAAGTTTGAGATAACTCTTTTTAAAAAAAATATTTTAAGATAATTCTTATAAATAGTTTTTGGATAATTTACTCTATAAAATGTTTATTACTTATTTGCCGTCATTAATGTCAATTGTCTCTATTTTTTAACTTTTAATAATAGTCTGCGGACATCTATTATACTCTTAAAAATATTTTTATTAACAACTAGAGTAATAACATAAGACCAAGTCAAAATAAAGAGAATTTGGTATGACTAGATATGTCGCACATGAGGTTTTAGTCGCCACGGTGAATGACATAAGTCTTCTCTGGTCCATACCTAACTTGAATTGACTTGTTATTTAATTAAGTCAACCCACTAATTATACTCATACAGTCAGACGTCAAGTCGTCAACCCATATCTTGGTCTAGAAATTTAAATTAAGACTTAGGCGTACGGCAGCATTTCCCTCTTTTCTTTCCATCTTCCTATATTCCTATCCCCGCTTATTGTTGCTCATCTTGTATATATAGGCATATAGCTCATTCTAGTTCCTCCATCTAATGGGGCGGATCTTGATTTGATTTAATAAAATTAATACGTCCCTCCCCTTCAATCGTCTGTCCATCCTTTCCTTCTCATTTTGTGCATACGTACGAAAAATGATGGTGTTAAGGTTAAGTGTGGCTGTGTTGCTTCTGCTAACGTTAGCGCCATGGTGTAGTTACTCACAATCACCTTCTCAACTTGTGGTGGGTATTACAATGGTGAAAAATACTACTGCCAAACATCTTGGAGCATGTAAGTCTTAACCTACAAATAACACTTGCATTAACGTAGCTACTGTTTTTATTTATTATCTTATGAATTCTTAATTTTCATTAAAATGGTGAAATTGAATTATGTGGTTGAAGATTGCTTGGATGGGAGTTTACCTGCATATCAGTTCAGCAAAGGATTCGGTTCTGGTGCAAGCAACTGGCTTTTGCACATCGAGGTAATTCATAATAAGGCTGATATAAGCCTAAAATAGTTGTCAATTTTCCTCAAAAAATTACATATATGTTAGAGATTTTCCTCAAAAACAAAATAAAAACATGTCAGAGATTTTAGTAATGCATTTGGAGTAATTACCATTTTTAGTAATTTTTTTTTTATACAGTAGTTGATTAACAATATCTTTAAGTTCGTTTTAGGCAATTTTTTATATACAATTGATTGTACCTTGTTCATGGTAAAACCAATTTTTTTTTCTTCTTATTCTATTAATGTACCTGTACCTTGCGAGCACATGGACAAAATTTAGCCTTGATTCGTTACAAGATTTTTTTTTTTTTTCTAAAAAAGAAAAAAATTATCATGATTTGATTGAGAGTAATTATGATTTGCTACTAGATTGAAAATAATAATAATTTGCATCCATATTGAGATTGATTACAAATAATTGAATTAGAATCATACCCTAAAGATAAATCATGATTTGAAATAAACCATGATTTTTGTTTATGATTTGCTTAAATTGGTACAAAATCATAAATATATGTTGTATTGTAATAATTGTTTTTATCTTAAGATCTTGTTCAATTCACCTTAAGAAAATAATATTCAGTAAAAATAATTTCAGTCCAGTATATATAAGTTCAGTTCAGTAAAAATAAGTAACTTTAAAGAAGAATATAATAGAAAATCTGTAAAAATAATTTCAGTTTAGTAAAAATCTGTAAAAATAATTTTAGTTCAGTAAAATTATTTTCAGTTCAATAAAATAATTTCAGTTTAGTAAAAATAATTTCACTTGAGCAAAATAAGTTGATGTGGTCAAGGCCTTATTGAGAAAAATAATTAAAAATCATGGTGAAAAAAAAGGTAGAGTGTTAAGACTTTTATAGTTTTATTTAGAGATGGAGATTGCGATTAGTATGAGTTAATTTGATTAGGATAGCTAGCTTTGACAATGGATCGATCGGAGAAGGATCACTCGTTACATATGATGATGTACGTAAATAATGATGTTCATTTTGGTAGGGTGGTGGATGGTGCAATGATGTAAATTCATGCTTGGAGAGGGCTACTACTGAAGTTGGTTCCTCAAACTACATGACTGAGAATAACTTTACTGGGATCCTAAGCAACAATGAATCCCTCAACCCAGGTACTTATTTCTTTGACTTATTGCTTGCTTCGTTTGTTATGAATTTACGGGACTTTACACTATAAGTCTATAATTATGTACTCATTGTTAAAGGCAAGTTGCTATATATGATCATCCTAGTAAGTGCTTCAATTCTACTACGTGCACTATGATCATACTCCAATTCTATCCATAATAATGTTTATAGGCCAGGTTCTTGCTGGAAGTTGTTTTGCAAGCTTAGTAACTAAAATGACATGTCCAATGTGAAATATAACCTTTTGTGACTAGAAAGCAAAGACATGAATTATACCAAGTGTTTGGGTCCAATTTAGTCCAATTGGGCCTATTCATTAAATGATCCAATTTAAAGCCCAAGGTCAAGGTTCAACTCTCCAATTGTGCTAAAGTCAAAGATCAGTCCTCAAAGCAAGTCCATTGGGCTAAGGCCCAACTTCTCCATATATGCAAAGGTATAAAAGCCATCAATATTTCATTTGTACATGATAATTCAACAAAAGCCTCAAGCAATTAATTCTCTTGCATAGTGTTCTCTTTCTACACACTGTACTGACTTTAGCATCGGAGGGGCCTTCCTCGGCAACACCCCCGAGGCTAGTTTACGTGTGTTTACTGTGCAGGAAACCTTCGGCCCAACATCACTTGGACCGAATCCGGTCTTCTCCACTTCATTGGACCTTCGACAAGGTCCCATTGTTTTCACCCGAAACAATTTGGCGCCGTCTGTGGGGAAGACTTTCAAAAAATCTTTAAGCCAAATTTCTAACCAAGATCATCTTGCAATTATCTTAGTAGCAATGGCTAAGAACCGCAAGAGCAAAGGCCTCCGTCAAGGAGCAAGCGAAAAGCCTAAAACCCCTACACCATCACCCTCACCGGACCGGAACTCTCCCAAGGGTGCCAGCTCGGGGCGAGGATCATACAGGGAGGATTCCCTTTCTCCCGTAATTCATAATTCTCATCATAGGCCGAGTCACTCTCGGTCTAGCAGGGGTCAATCCGATCATAGGACGCATTCAGTGCCCCAAAGCCAACCATCGACCGTCCGCTCTCATTCCCATACTCAGCCGAGGACCCCTTTGACGGGGCCCAGCTCGGAGGAGGTGGCAAGAGCGTTGGCAGTGCTCATGGAGGCAATGAGGGCACAAAGTATGCCACCACCTCGTGATCGAACTCCTCCGCATACCCGGCATCAGCGGAGGAAGCTAGACCGTGATGGTGGGAAACTTCCTTCCTTCCGGGAACTGGAAGAGTGGGAAGAGGATACCTGGAAAACTGAAAGAGAGAGGAAAAAGAACCCTCAATTCTTCAAAGGATCCTCAACCTCCCGACCAGAAACGCATAAGAGCAGCAGTTCAGCTTCTCGGCCAGAATCTGCTCACCGAGAACAACCTGAGACTGCTCGCCGAAGCGTCCTCGACCGACTCGGCGGCAAGGAACCGAGCGTGCACAGTCGCCTCTCGTTCCCTGCAGCCGAGGCCCAGACTTCCCAGCCAGGGACGAAAACCACTCCTACCTCTCTAAGAGGGCGGAGCGCGGTCCCTTCGGCCAGGAACAAGGGCAAGGCCGTTATGCTACCCGCCAGTTCGCCATTCGAGCAGTGGATACTGGAAGAGTACGTGCCCACGGTTAAAATACCGTCGCACATCACATATGATGGAACTTCGGATCCGAAGGACCACATTGCCTCGTATGAGGCTCATATGCATCTTTGCCCCAGATCCGAAGCGACTTGGTGCAAATATTTCCCAACCACTCTCAAGGGGGTCGCGCAAGCGTGGATCTCCAAGGGAGTAAAGCAAGGCTCCATAACAGGGTGGGATGATCTGTCCTCCAAATTTAGGAGCAAGTTTTCCACGGCAAACAGCCGAGAGAAGACTACTGCAGAACTCATGAGTCTGCAACAGGGGGAAACCGAAAGCCTCCGAGACTATCTGACCCGTTTCAGCAACGAGTCATCCAGCGTCTCTCAGCTGGACCAGGGGCTAGCCGTTTTTGCAATGCGGAATGACCTTCAGCCCGGGAAGTTCCTAGACTTCATGGTCATGCATACCCCGCAGACCTTGGAGGAAGCTCTGAATGCCTCGGATAAATTCATCCGAGCCGAAGAGTGGAATAAAGCGAAAACCCAACCTCAATTCGGGGGAGGGAAACAAAAACAAATACCCTCGTCTGAAGGCCAAGGCCATAAGGCAAAGGGAAAGTCAAAGGCCTCGGAGCAATCCTCGGCCAGCGACCCAAAGAAGGAAAAATCTGCCTCATACGCAGGCAGATACGAGTCCTACACTCCGCTCTCTCTTCCGCGCGCCAAAATTTACAGCGTGACGAAGGAGGAGCAGAGTTACCGAAAGCCGAGACCACTCCCAGAGTGGTATCAGCGAAAAAATAAAAATAAGTGGTGCGAGTTCCACGAATCTCCGGGACATAACACTGAGGAGTGTATCCAACTGAAGGACCAGATAGAGGACATGGTCCGGAAGGGATACTTGAAAAAATACATCGCGGATTACCGCGAGAAAAAAGAGTCCGAGAAGTCAGCAAAGGACTCTCGGCAAGACCTTGACTTCCCCCGGAAGAACAGTAAAAAGCCAGAGGGAAAATTCTCTCCGATTAATGTTATCTCGGGAGGAATATGCTCTCGGAGGGAGCACAAGAGACACCTTAGGGCTTTGACCCACCAGGTGAACAACGCTGACATTCAATCTCCCCAGTCGCCGGTGCCGAACATGACGTTCACAGCCGCCGACTGCCGGGGGGTAACGTTCCCTCACGAGGATCCATTGGTGGTCATCGCCACGGTGGCCAACCACGACGTCAGTAAGGTCCTTGTTGACGGTGGCAGCGGAGCAAACATTCTGTTCCGAAAGGCCTACAATCAAATCAAGCTGAAGCCCAAGCACCTTACGCCGGTACCCTACCCGGTATCCGGGTTCAACGGGGCTTCAACTTATCCAGATGGGAAGGTGACACTTCCTGTCACCATCGGCTGCGGTGAAGCAGCCAGGAATGTCATGATTGAATTTTTGGTCATTGACGCTCCTTCAGTGTACAACGTGATTTTGGGGAGACCCATAATTCATGAGATCCAAGGGGTCGTCTCAACTTATCATCAGCTGATGATTTACGTCTCAGACGCTGGCTTCCCCGAAAGGATACAGGGCAACCAAAAGGACGCCCGAAGGTGCAACTACCTCAAGCCATCCAGTAGTCGCCCAGATGACGACAAGGATGAGGAGGAGAAAGAAAAAGAAAGAGAGCCAGGCACAAAAAAGCCGAAAGGCCTAAGCGCTTCGGCCCAAGGATCTGTGCCCGGAGAAAAAGGGCTCGAGAGGGAAAAGGCTAGCTCTTCAGCTGAGCCAGAGAGCCAGCCGAAGAACAAAAAGACTGGGACACCTGCTGACATAGGCAGCAGGCCAGATTCTGCAGAGTCCAGTCCATCAGCAATGGATATGGACCAACAGACTGAAACAGTGGCCGAAGGAGACGTTGAGAAATGTGTAACAATCGGGATGGACCTTGATCCGAACACCCGTTGTGAACTTATTCAGCTCCTTCGGGATAACAGAGATGTGTTTGCTTTCTCGGCAGCTGATATGCCCGGGATAAGTCCAGACCTCATCTCCCATAGGCTTAATGTTGACCCAACGTGTCGACCAATTAAGCAAAAGAAGCGGAATTACTCCGCTAATAAGAACCGAGACATCGCAGCTGAGGTCAAAAAATTGCTGGAGGCAGGCTTCATCGAGCCTTGCCAATATCCAGAATGGCTGGCAAATGTGGTGATGGTTCAGAAGGCTAATGGTACCTGGAGGATGTGCGTCGACTTCACGGACCTAAATAAGGCTTGTCCAAAGGATTTCTATCCCTTGCCGAGGATCGATCAGCTAGTCGATTCGACAAGTGGCCATGCCTTGCTTAGTTTCATGGACGCATTCTCGGGGTATCATCAGATCTTCATGCACCCCGACGATCGAGCAAAGACGGCATTCGTCACGAACGCTGGGGTGTACAATTACAAAATGATGCCCTTCGGATTGAAAAATGCGAGGGCAACCTATCAAAGGCTGGTGGATCAAGTTTTCGCCGATCAAAAGGGCCGAAACATGGAAGTCTATGTCGACGATTCGATCGTCAAAAGCAAAAAATCTGAGGACCATGTTAAAGACCTGGCTGAAACTTTCGCCACCTTAAGAAAGCATCAAATGAAGCTGAATCCGAAGAAGTGTGTCTTCGGCGTGAAGTCAGGGAAATTCCTCGGGTTCATAGTCAGCAAGAGGGGGATTGATGCCAATCCCTCCAAAGTCAAAGCAGCGCTCGACCTTCCTGAGCCGAAAACAAAGCGGGATGTTCAGCGGCTCACCGGAAGGATGGCAGCCCTCTCGAGGTTCATTTCCAGAGCTTCGGATAAGGGGTTACCTTTCTTCAAAGCCCTGAAACTCCCGAAAACAAAAGAGCTCGTTTGGGAGGGAGAGCAAAAAGAAGCCTCTAAACAGCTTCGGGAGCATCTGGCTCAACTCCCAACGCTGGCTAGCCCAGCAGAAGGAGAAACTTTGTACCTGTATGTTGCCGTTAGCCCAGTCAGAAACTTTGTACCACCATCAGTGCAGTACTGCTGAAAGATGAAAGCAAAAGTCAGCAACCGATCTACTTTGTCAGTCATACACTGACGGATGCCGAGACTCGCTACCCTCTACTCGAGAAAGTCGCTTTCGCGGTAGTAGTAGCTGCTCGGAAGCTGAGGCCCTATTTTGATTGCCATCAGATAGTGGTCTTAACTGATCAGCCGTTGGAAAAAGTTCTCGGCAAGGTTGAAAAATCTGGTAGGCTAGCCAAGTGGGCTTTTGAGCTCACCGAATTCAGCATCAGCTACCGTCCGAGGACTGCCATTAAGGCTCAAGCTCTAGCGGATTTCTTGGCCGAATGCTCATACCAAGAAGCGCTAGACAATGAAAAGAAAGTCTGGACCGTGTTTACGGATGGATCTTCCACCGAAAACGGTT